TAGACATTTATTAGTTATTACTTTGGTATCCGGATCTATTTGGATATTCCCTACTAGTCTAAAAACGGTTTTGCAAGTGTATTTGTCTATTCTTACAACTGCCGTGCATTCATGGAATAGTACTTAGTTTGTATGACCATCTATCTTACATATCCTTCGACAAGTCGAACGTATCAGTGCATCCATTATTTATCATGTATGAAATATTTTGTCGACGAGCTTATGCTTCAGTTAGTACTCAATAGTTTTCACTAATTTCACTGAAAAAGAAGTCATTATTTTGTACCTTTTGATGATTCATGATTTGAGCTGCTCTGTTTGTACCGTCCTGAAGGCCTGATGTCTTTGTTTGATTGAGATTTGATATAACTGACTTTGGGGTTAAATTGAGCTCTTCTTAATCGCCTCATAGTGATCGATGAAAATATTAGCGCGATACCAAACTATCTTGGTTTAGTGATCTTTCCAGGATACATTATGACTATTACATTGAGTCGTACTATCTTTCGTTCTAAAACAAGTACTGCTGATGAAAATTTGCCTCGCTGATTAGGAAGCTGCGCGCTTCAACACATCTGTCGCAGCGTGATCCGTCGTGACTGACAGCTATCGATTGGAGCTGTTGTGACGTCTTTCACTTGTAGCAGACGTCAGTCAGGAATTCAATAATCAAGCCGCATGGGAAAATCATGGATACCCCCTGAATGCTACTTGTTCTATTGAAATATTGGGTTCCCTGTCCTCCTCGGCTGACAAAAGTGTTGGTTTGTTAAGTTTCTATAAATACACGGTCATATTTTTTAGGAGGACTTTTTCTACTTTTGCATCTCATCTAGCTACAACCAATGCCATTAAGTGCGTACTTATATATTCATATAAAAAATTATTAAACATTTTAAAAGCCCTAAAAAAAAATAGCTGTTAAGACTTTTTCACGCTAGATTGATTCATAAGTATTGAATTCCAAAAGGTTTTGTCACTCCACCGTTTCCCTGTTAAGACAGGGTTGTCAACTATGTTTAAGACAAGGGCAAACTTAGTTAGCTACAAGTTATTCAGGTTAGTATCTAAACGCACGGCTGGACACCTGTCATACAATGCTGCCATCCTATTAACGCTTCAGCTATAAATGGATCTTAACTTTCGAACAAAACAACCCAAAAAACATGGCATCTGTATGGTTTATTAGTGTACTATTGTTGTTTTTATTACTTCACTAAATGTTTTTAGCAATAAATAAAAAGTTATGCGGTCGAGCTACTACTGACGTCATGCATTTATAAAGGAAATCATGCCTGACAAGAAAAATAAGTCGCTCGTAACATCCTAACGGCACACCTTCTATAAGCCTTCTTAAACCAAGGTACAAGTCTCAGCAAGGCGTCGTTTTGTCAGGTAAGCGAACGTTTAGACTACAAAATATTTGCTTAGTAAATGACCCTGTATCCAGTTCATTCGAGTTAAAGTTAAGTAACCAGCCATCACTGAAACCATAGTTAATCGAGGGGACTATGCTGAAACAGCAGAGCTCTGCTGAATCCGACAATTTAAGTTTAATACATGAATCATATGCACTTGCAGTAATAAACTTTTTRAGCGTTTACAAGCGTTTATAACCAGAATTACCGTTCGATTTCTATATTCCATGGGGGCATGCTCTCTTTAAAGATGCTCTCTTTAAAGATTCACTTTGAATAGTTATATTGTAGCTAGAAGATTCCGTGTGTTCTATTATTATTTCAACTGAACTTCTACTAAACATCTGGACCGGATCGATATATACATATACGATATATATTTGTTGTAAACAAGAAAAATATGCTCATTATTTTCACGATTCACGATCAGTCGAGCAACTTCGCGTCCTAAATGAATTGCAAAGAGCTGATCTTAAAGAAACTTTTATTCAGGTCTATCGTATAAATAATAACCTATACCTCCAGTCGGCCGAACATTAAACGAATTAATACGGTTACGAAAAGCGTTTTTTATATATTTAACGCAGAAACACAGGAATATAATTTTAATCTTTGGTCGACTGTGTTTAAAAAATTCAAGCCTAAAACAAACAACACGAACCACGCTATGGTTGGCCAAATGTTGCAAAATTCAACAGCATGTATATTTATATTCAACAAAATATAATTACATTCAACAATAAAATTGTGTTCAAATTCAACCTTCGTTATT